TTATTGGGATAGTGTAGCTCACCCTTTCATTAACTATTTCAGATCAAGAGGACCAAGATCTAAATCTCAATCAACAAGAGGGTTGTGAATAATTCACCACCCGAACTCCCTTCAAAAACTAGTGAAAGTCGTCCTATAATGCTTAGTTATTTGCTTTTAGTTTATTTTTTTAATTTTCGTTTGTTCTTTTAGAAGAGATATTCCCGTAGTCCTATTAGGTATTCTAAATTATTGTGTAATGAATGTAAATACTAACTCTATTATTTCACTTTTGTATTTAATTTATGACTTTATTTCCATTTAAGTTTCAGACCTCTATAGTTGGTATCAGAGTCGCATTCTTTGAAACCATTCCTTACATAAAGACCTAAGGAAACACCAAAAAAATAAATTATCGCTCAACCATTCATTATGAAATACAGGTACAGATAGATGATGAGAGGAAGACCCCCACTAAATCGAGCAGGCTGATTCACTTCGAGAGGATGTTGACCGATTATTTAAGATGCTGGAGAGACTCATCACTACCTTGTAGGCCCAAGAGGAAAGGAGGGAGCTACCTGACCCTCCCATGCTGCCATAGTTTGAGCCACCCTAGTATAACCTTGCTCCTCTACAGTACCATCCGGCATCACCACAGTATAGTCCGGTGCCCCCACAGCATCACCCAACACCACCACAATACAATTTGGTGACTCCATCGTATCATCCAGTACCACTACAGGGCCATTCGGTCCCTCCCCAGCATAATCTAGTCCCTCTTCTACATGATTCAGTTCCACCCATGATGGACTCAAGTTATATTGAGATGTACAAAATACTAAATTCATTTACTTTTATAGGGGCATCCTCCATTGAAGAGGCTGAGTACTGATTAGCTGAGACAGAGAAGGCTTTTACGACTCTTAGGGTGGTTCCTGAACAGAAAGTTGTACTTGCCACCTACATGCTTATGGGAGAGGCAGGTCGCTAGTGGCAACTAAAATAGGCGACCCTGCTCATTCCAATCACTTGAGAACAATTCATGATGACAACCTTTAATGCATAGTACATCCCAAAGCACCTCCGATATCTGAAGAAAATAAAGTTTGCACACCTAGTCCAGAGTGATATGACTGTGTCAGAGTATGCCCAAAAATTTTTAGAGTTGGGCTGGTATTCTCTCGACAGTATGATGGATGAAGGCAAAAAGGTAAGAAAGTTCGAGTGGGGCCTCTATCTTGAGATTAGACAACAGTTGTATGTGTTCGAGCTCAGTACTTACTCAACCGTTCTGGCCAAGGCACAGCTAGTGGAAAGGAACCTTTGCATTTTTCCTCCAACAGTGGGGAACCCCAGACCCCTGTTTTCACACCTCAAACTAGCACCCACTGCACCGGTTTAGCAAAACAAGATACATAGGTCAGTAACTCAGGCTCCTCCTTATATTCCGGTAACAGAATGCGGTAGAAGTTGCTAGTACGATGGCAAGGATCATGGGGACCGACCCTGCTATTGCCTCAACAATATTTTCTGTATATGTGGGAGTGCCCAGCACTACGCGCCCGTAAAATCAGAACCAAACCAAACCTCCTATCCAGGGCAGAGCTTACAACCTCACTCAGTATGATGCTGAAGTCAACCCAGATGTGATACATGGTACGAACACTATCTGTAATTACTTTGCACATGTTTTGATTGATACTGGTGTCTCACATTCATTTGTCTCACATACTTTTACACCAAAGTTGAATGTATTACCTGAAAGGTTTGATTATGTGTTGTTTGTGTCTACTCTTGGGAGTAAGACACTATTAGGGGAGATTATATACAGAGCTTGTGTCATAGATATAACAAATAAAAAATTGAGTATGGACCTAATAGAAATTGACACAAGGGACTTTGATGTAATTTTAGGAATGAACTGGCTAGCGGTGTATCACGCTACCATAGATTGTTTT